AGCAATTTCCAAAAAACAACGGATTATTTAAAGCGCCGCTAATAAGTTTACATTTAGTCAGGAAGAGAAACAATTTTCAAATAATGGGAACGGTGAACACTAGGTGACGTTTACAGGCACATTGAATTTTGGGGTATATTTTGGAGTTGCAATCTACTCGGAGGTTTTACACCCCATCGTTCCCTAAATTGTTTATGCAGTCACGGATACAGAGAGTTTTCGATGGGGAAATACTCAGTGTAGGATTGACACCGTCCTTGAGCCCGATGAACATGGTGGTTGCACATCGCGGCGCTCATCTAGCCCCTAACTCCTATCTGTGACTCTACGAACCAACGTCTGTCTAGCGGCTACACTCCGGGCCAAACCAAAGTGCAAATCTCCACATTCAGCAACCCCATCTGCTGCGCAACCCAGTTTGCACGCATAACAAAATATGGCTACGAGCTGAGCGATAGTAATCCTGCGTCTTTGGGGGTCCAACTTCCCTGCCATCATCGGCGCCCACGTCCCAACAATAACTGCCTCAAACGAGGCAAAGACAATATTCTACGAAGGCCTGCACACCCTCCTGGTGACTGTGTTGAAAGCGAAAAAGCTGATTGTCCTTGGTGACCTCAACGCCCGCGTCGGCACAGACGATGCTACCTGGAGAAGTGTTGGGTCCTCACGGAACTTCCGGCTGCCACGACAATGGCTTTCTTTACCTGCGGGTCTGTGCTGAGTACCGCCTCCTGCTGACCAACACCTTTCGCCTGCCGACGCGGAAGGCGACTTGGATGACCCCCTCATCGCGGCGCTGGCAGCTGTTGGACTCTGTTGTCGTCCAGCGGCGAGATCAGCAGGACGTGCCGGTGACGGAGGTGATCCCGGATGTCGGTGGCTGGACGGACCATCGCCTTGTCCTCTTCGAGATGAGGCTCCGCCTGCAGCCTTGTAGGAAGCCTCAAGGTAAGTACCCCTCAGGTAAGCTGGATGTTGCTTTGCTTGCTCACTATTTGTTTTTCAGAAATTAACTGACTCAGTGGCTGGAAGACCTGCCATCCGCAGATGAAACGCCTCCGTGGAGACTCGATGGTGCCGACTACGGGAGCCCGTTCACTCGACCGCCCTCGCTGTCCTTGGCTGCGCGCATCGTCAGCACCAGAACAGGCTCGACGGCAACAACGCAGCCATCAGTAATCAGCTGAAAGAGAACAGACTACACAGTGCCTACTTCGACCATCCAACCGACGCGAACAAGGCCACCTTCTACCAATGTCGCCACCTTGCGCAGAAACGGTTGCGTGAAATGTAGAACGACTGGATGGCTCTCAAGGCCGAGGAGGTCCAGGGGTATGCCGACCGCAACGAATCAAAGACCTTCCCTGCTGCGATCAAGGCGATCTACACCCCCCCCCCCCCCACGAAAGAAAGGAACCGCGTCGCTTCTCAGCTCCGATGGATCACGTTTCTGAAGGAGAAGATGCAGGTTCTGAATCGCTTGCCCGAGCACTCCAGAAACGTTTTAAACCGTCCCTCCACAATCTCCGACGTCACCATCGACCGGCTTCCCCAAGTGGAAACCAACACCGATCTGAATCTGCCGTCCTTTCTCCCAGAAACCATCCGCGCCGTGCAACAACTCTCCAGCGGGAAAGAACCCGGCTCCGGTGAGATCCCAGCTGAAATCCAAAAACACGGAGCCACCGGCTGATGGACCAAATCCTGGCGCTGCGGACAACACCCTAAGGATTTCAAGGACGTAGTCATAGTCCATAGGCACGAGCGTAAAAGGAACCGGCACCTCTATGACAATCACAGCGGCATCACGCCGGAAGGATCTTCGACTGCAACCTCCTCAATCGTCTCAATGACCACGTAGACCAAGGACTTCTGTGGGGCTGCCAATTTGGCTTTCGGCGACACCACGCAGCCACTGATATGATCTTTGCCGTCCGCCAGCTACAAGAGAAGTTCCAGGAAATTCGGACTTACATCTGCACCATATTCGTGCATCTGATGAAAGCCTTTGACACGGTAAATCAAGAAGAAATGTGGAGAACTATGCAGAATTTCGACTGTCGCGAGTGATCCGCGCATATAGTACGTCAGCTCCACGATGGGATAATGGTGCCCGTCATGGACGATGGCGCAATCTCCGAGGGGTTCGCAATGACCAGTGGAGTGAGGCAGGGCTGCGCCCTCGGGCTCAAATTCTTCGGCTTCATGTTCTCTTCATACTGATGGAACCCTACCGTGATGAGCGCCACGGGATCCACATCGACTACAGGACCGACGGGCACATTGTCAACATCTGGTGAATGCAGGCCCCAACACGTCTTTCCACAACTACTATCCACAATCTGCTCTTCGCTGACGACTGCGCACTCAATAGTACCACAGAAGAAGACGTGCAACGGAGCATTGTCCTTTGCGTCTACGGCTGCCCCCACTTCCGACTGATCATCAGTAGGGACAAAACGGTAGTCATGCATCAGCAACCATCGAACGCTGAATACAGTGTCCTTCGCATCCGCGTCAAAGGCACCGGACTGAAGACCGCGGTTAACTTCAAGTGCCTAGACAGTACAGTGTCTCGCTGCATCATAATCGATGGCGAAATAGCCCACTAGATCTCCAAACCCAGTTAAGCCTTCGTCTGATTGCAAAAGTCCATGTGGAATTGTCAGGCCTTCAAATGAATACCAAACTGAAGATGCACGAGGCCGTCGTACTGATGGAACTCCACTACCGGATGGATACCCGGGCCGTCTAATCCAATCATGCCAAGAAGCCAAAACAGATACATCCCGGCTGCTTTCGCAGAATACTAAAGCTGGGATGGCAAGACAGGATCCCCGACACGGAAGTCCTATGACAGACCAGAATCCTCAGCATCCAGGTCATGCTGGTGCACCTGTAACTACGCAAGAGCGGCCATCTCGTACAGATGGAAGATACATGTCTACCAAAACAACTCTTCTTTGGTGCTGTCGCCACCGTGTTCGCCGACTGGAAGGACCAAAACAACGCTATAAGGATCGATTAAAGAATTCTCCAAAACGATTGCATATCAATCCGGAGACCTGGGAGAACCTCACCCAGAACAGACCGGCATGGAAAAAAGAAATGAAGACTGACGCTGTCATCAACGCAGCAAATCGGATCGTCGCGGCCAAAGTCAAACGGGGGGCTCGCAAATCACAAGTGCCTTGCCTCCTCATTGTAACCCATTCGCGGCTTACAACATGCCCGCGCTGCTAAGGCGCATTCCGCGCACGAATAGGTCTTGTAGGATGCTGTCGGACCCAAAGCGTCATCAATCCGATCATTTCTACTCCTTATCCCACACTCGTCCCTGCCTCAAAACTCACGCTAATTTCCACATCTATCACTGCCGATAACATTGTCGCTGTACCGCCGCCGCCACCATCCGCTCTGCCGCAACCCCTGTATCGACCGCAGCGACCAGCATTAACACCACCACGACTTCACGCAATCTCCCGCCGATGGGATGACATCTGATGCACCCTAAACTTTTACCATCACCACCAACAGGACTGGTTTGATTACAACGACGATAAAGACCGCCATATTCTCACTTATAATGATAGAATTCAAAGGATTTGCGTCAAACACAAAACTGCGGCCAATAAGATGACCTTCCGATACAAGCGAAGATGTGAGTTCCGGGAACCAGTTGATGAGAGGTAGAAGCGATCGCGTGGTGGTGGTGGTGGTGGTGGTGGTGGTGGTGGTGGTGGTGGTGGTGGTGGTGGTGGATCTGCTTGGGCACATGATGGGTGTGCAACATGTGCTAGTTGTGTCGGGACTGCGCTGAATTCCACTTTCGTGGATACGCATGTAACCTAGTTAGCCAATGAGGTGGCCGAAAGTGCGGGGGTAGTGCGGGTGGTTGAGGCGGATTCGATGATTTTGGGTTGGTGATTCAGACAGTAGTCCTCCAAAGAAGGCGAAGGCACGATCACTGGGACAGTAAGTTTATTTGCCTGAGCTTTCGAACTCGAACTAGAGTTCATCATCAGAGGTTACTCGAGTGCAGCAAATTGTGAACATTTATATCGTTCATCCTTGCGGGGGCGGGAGGGGGAGTACGTCCGTAGCTAGGTAGGGTTTGTGCCGCCTGGTCCACGATGTTCCCCCGGCGTGGTGACGCCATTTGCACTTCGCGACGGTGTGAGCTGCGCCACCTGGCTGCGTGGGCGGAGCGCGTGATAACACGCAGGCAAATCGACGTGTCTGTTGATGGAGTTGGTGTCCGACACCCACGCCTCCAACAGCTCTCGCCCTGTCTTGTTGCCGGCTCGCGCCAATATCCGCGTGTTGGCGAAGTCGAACTCATGCCCTTCCTCGAGCGTGTGAGTGGCTACTTGAGACAGTGGGTCGCCTCTCCGAACGGCCCGTTTGTGCTCAAGTATTCGTGAGCTCAGACGTCGTCCTGTCTGGCCTGTGTAGTGGCAAGGACAGTTTTGGCACGGGATTCGATAGACTACGCCCGACTGTTCACCTGCGTCCAGCCGATCCTTCATTTTCATGATCCTGCTACGCATGGTGGCCGCCGGATGATGAGCGATGCCCACGCCTAGCTCTGACGCGATGCGTTCTGTAGCCTCGGACACATTCTTTATGTACGGTAGGGAGTGCCAAATTGTTGGTGTCTCTCTTCCGTTTGTCCGGCGTGGGTGTGCGCGTATGCAGCGACTTATAAAGCTATTTGGGTAGCCGTTCTTTGTTAATTGGTCCCGGAGATGCCGTAGTTCTTGCATCCTTCCTTCGGGCTCGCTACAGTGCGTTTTTACCCGGTCGAAAAGCGCCCTCACACAGCCCCGTTTGTGCACCAATGGGTGGTTGCTATGATAGTTGAGGACCTGGGTTGTATTGGTCGCCTTTCTGTACACTGTAGTGCTGAGGTTACCGTCAGGTGTGCGCGTGACGAGCACGTCCAGGAAGGGCAGTTTTTCGTCCTCCTCGTCTTCTCTTGTAAACTGAATGTCGGGGAATATGCTGTTAAGTAGGCCTTGGAAACCCGATAGCTTGTCCTTTTCAATAATGACGAATGTATCGTCCACGTATCGGCGCCAAAACGCAGGTTTGTAACGGCTGAAAGCAACCTTTTCAAGCTCTTGTAGAACCAATTCCGCAACTAGGCTGGATATTGGGGAACCCATGGGTGTTCCTTTGATTTGTTCGTATGTTCTGCCATCGAAGGTGAAAAAGGTTCGTTGGCAGAATGCAAAGAGCTGCATTAGGTGCTGGATCTTTAGCGGCCCTGTCGTTTCGTTGTACTTTTCTTCGAGGCGTTTGCGTAGCACGTGGCGCGCCAAGTCTGGTGGGATGGACGTGAAAAGTGAGACAACGTCGAAGGATACCATGATTTGGTCGGGTTGAATAGTTTTTCCCCGAATGTCGGCAAGGAATTGGGAGGCTGAATTGACGGACGTCACAGAGCCCTCTCGGAGAAAATTGAGCTTTCGGGACATCCATTTGGCTAAATTGTATGTGGGGCTGCCTTTCAGGGCCACGATTGGCCGCAGAGGAACGTTGGGTTTGTGTATTTTTGGTAGTCCGTAGAACCTGGCCAACGCCGTGTCGGTTGGTTCTGTCTGGCGCCATTCGTCTGGCGAGATTACATTGTTACGCCGGAGTCGGCTTAAGAGTCCAGTCAGCTGGCCACTCATCGATTTGGCCTGCGAGGCGGGTGCGGACCTGTAGGATTGTTGGTCGTCCAGGAGAGCTTGTGCCTTCTCGTTGTAATCAACGCGGTTCATCACAACTGTTGCTCTTCCTTTGTCGGCCGGCAGCACTATAATATCTTTGTCCATTTTTAATCTCTTCATTGCTTCTATTTCTGCGGGCGACATATTGCTAGCGTGCCTGTTCGTCATCAGGAGGGAGGTAACCTTTTGGCGCACCGTGTGTTTAGCCTCTTCGCTTGCGTTAGTTCGTACTAACATGGCCTCAAGTGCAGCAATGAAGTCGGCTGGGGTGGCATCAGCAGTGTTAAAATTGGCTTCGTGGCTCAGCACTCTGAGTTCCGTTTCGTTTAACTGCTTCGACGATAAGTTGTGTACCACATTTTCGTTGGTATTAATTTCCGGTTTCAATTTGACGGCTTTTTGGTCTAGATTCATGCGTTTCATTTCCTGCCTCGCTTTTGCCACGGTTGATATTGTTCGGTCCAGACACTCAGTAAGTGATTCGCCGAGCAATGCCGTGCACTCCGCCCTTCTTTCTTCTATGACCGTTCGGTACTTGCGCAAGCGTAAGTGACAGTCGTTGATCAGCACTCTTATCATTTGTTTCCGAAAGCGTTGTACGACGCATCGGCCCAATTCCGTATTCACTGGCGCTTTATAACGGAGGCTCTTCGGTGTCAGTCCGTCGCGAATGCACTTATGTAGAAAGCGCAGTTGTTCATAAGTTGCTGCCTCTCGTGTGGAGAATGTCTCCCAGCTGCGAGCTGTACGAAGCGCATCACGCCCGAAATTCTCACGAATGGAAGAGAATATACGCATCCCAGGTTCTTGTTTAAAAGAAGGCGAAGGCACGATCACTGGGACAGTAAGTTTATTTGCCTGAGCTTTCGAACTCGAACTAGAGTTCATCCCTACCTAGCCACGGACGTACTCCCCCGCCCGCCCCCGCAAGGATGAACGATATAAATGTTCACAATTTGCTGCACTCGAGTAACCTCTGATGATGAACTCTAGTTCGAGTTCGAAAGCTCAGGCAAATAAACTTACTGTCCCAGTGATCGTGCCTTCGCCTTCTTTTAAACAAGAACCTGGGATGCGTATATTCTCTTCCATTCGTGAGTAGTCCTCCAGTCTCTGGAGTCGGGGAGCTGGAGGATGCGTTAATTGATCGCTTAAATGTAAATGGTTAGCAAACAACTGCAATGGAGCGGAATTCGGCACAACTTTATTTAGCTTACCTAGTGGTCGCCTACCTTATGCCCTCCTGTAGGGTTGCAGATCGAAGTTCTTTCACTGCAGCTGGCTGGTCTTCCAGCCATTGGTTCAGTAGCTTGCTGAATGCTGAAATGCAAGGGTGGGCAGGGAAGACAACCAAGCATTACTCAGCTTACTTGAGGGTCACTTGCCTTGTGGCCCGCAGAGGGCTGCAGACGGAGATAGTGATCCGGTGAACTGCACGGCCAGAGGCAGTGGGAGGGAGGCAGAATTACCGTGTGCGATGATATGCACACGCATACCCTCACCTGGTTTAGCCCGCCGGCCGAGGCGGTTACCGCATTATGGCTGCTAGACAGCGCCTAGCTTCGGGGAGCCGCGAGTGATAGTTGGGGCCCAGCTAATGGACCCTAGGCGTGACTAACACCTGCAGGCAAGTGAGCGACCCTCTACGACCTTCACATGGAAACCCCTACATCCCTGAAGGTAGCCAGCTGTTAAGTGACACCTACAGAAATATTTTATCCTTAACACCACAGCATAATCGTGGACCGCGACCTGCATCCGGAGTAAGAACTTCCCCCCTGACGATCAATGTGGATTTCAAAAGAATCACTGAGCCATCAACAAGCTCTTCACTACCATTCATCTACCCCACTCACGTGTGTCTTCGCTACCAGTCTCCATGAGCTTCTGTTCGAGGATGATTGGGTGGCCAACATCACGACGGGAGCGGACATGCAACGGAGCGTGGACCACTTCGGTTCGGTAGAACAATCTCTGGAGTAACAATCAGTATTGAGAAGAGTATGGTTACTTTGGCATAGGCTGGCCAAAGTAGTTAACCCCTCTGGGATCGCGCAAGCCGGTGATCCAGATGGCCGAGCAATCATCACTCAAGCATCCAACACGGGTAATGAGATTTCAGCAATTAACAACTTGCATGCTGGCCATCAAACAATTAGCACACCACCGGGCAACAATCCTTGATGAAGGGGAGCGCCGTTAATTACATACTACAGGTATGCAGTGGCATAGCGACTGCGTCCTCTAAATACCGCAACCTCCTGTGCACGAGTCACTTTTTTCTACCACCGTCTCTGATGATGGGTTCAAATGGGAATCCGAAACGTCAGGCGAATAAAGCTCCTGTTCCAGCGATTGCTTCTTCTTCTTCTTCTTCTGATCAACTAGTTCCTGGAACTCGCATTTTCGCTTGTATCGACAACTATGGTCACCCATCGACCAGCACCATCCGAGGAGTACAGCATGCGCGTGTTCGGTGCGAACGGAGGTGGCTCCGCATTTGAGAACAAATTCTTCTACCTGGACCGTACAGGCTCAATCAGCAAGCCCGTCAGGCCCTTGGCTAGCTGCAGCCCACAAAATGGAATCTCCGTGGTCTTCGCCTGAGCACGATACTAAAGGTGTACCTAGTCGCTATCCTGAAAACTTTCGTGTACAGGACGAAAATATAGACTGTGTATTAAAGTCAGGCAAGGACGGGCAATCCATTTCGTCATGCCTGCCTTGCAGGATACTAAAATTGAGGTGGCAAGACAGGATCGCGGAGAGAGAAGTTTTAAAGAACATCGGAATCTTCAACATCCACGCAATGCTGAGGTGGAGGCAACTGCTTTGGGGAGACAAGGTGGTTGAGAATTACGAGCGTCCACACAAGTTAGACTTTTGTGGTGACGTCGTTGCAGGCGATCGCAGACATGGCGCAAAAATCGTCACCTAACGACACATAGAAGAGCTACCTCAAGCGAATGCAAGCCCATCTTTCGACCAGAGAAAATATCACCCGGAATCAAAATGCATTGAGCATTGCTATGGGAAGTTGAACAACAAACTACAAAGCCCATCGCATAGAAGATGCGAAAGTAAAGAGGGAGGCAAGTAAATCTCGACTTTCCGCGCGCATCGTTGAAAGCGTTAACGCCCACCAACAATTCAGCATTTCCAAAAGACGTTCAGAGTACGCGTCGGACTAGTGGGTCATAACAACCCGTCCAGCTCATCAGTTACCGCGCAGGCCGCCGTCATCGCCAGCAAGATCACGGAAATAAGCCCATCTCCCCACTCTGCCATCGGTCACTCACCCCCAGCAGCACTACCAGCAGGCTTCACTAAGTTCCAACTTGTCTCCATTTGGACTGCAATTTCGTATGGCAAACTGGTCTTGTCGGTAACTTGCGGATCCACAGCATTTCGATTGCGAACTAATGTTGGGACCTCAAGCATGCACTTATTAATCCTGTTTCACCCATTCACACTATGTTAAGGCACATTAGCAATCAATTTCTGAGAAAATTTAAAAGCCGCAACTTCGAAACTGAAATATCTACCAGAGCCATAAAGCACACGATGAATACTGGAAGGCCCACTGATGAGCCCAGCCTCTCGCAACTGTGTAACGCAGCGGCAGAACATCGGCGAAACACGTGTCTGATCTTTTAGTTATTACTTGCGCTGCCACCTATGATATATCCTGCTACCTACGAATATACTATTGGCCGCCTGTCGGCAGGTTGCCGAAAATTACGCGGTTATTCCGCTGTGGCTGGTGGGCTTTAGCCCAAATATTCATATCGAATTTCAGTCTTACCCCATATGTCTCAAATATACTGATCTACTTCAAGTTAATGATTTGTGTTTGAGAAAATTAAGAAGCCCTAATCAAGCCTCATTGTCATTGCAGGGGGCTATTTGACTACATGCGCATCCAAGAAACTCTCCACTAAGACATTACAGTCCAGACCGCATCATCACATGTTGTCTTACTGGCACACACACACGAACCCTACGTTACGCGCTAAACCACCCGCAAAACGTGCCTACGTGGCATCTGCCTGCCACACATAGTGCATCACTCCTGCAGTAAGCATGTGATCCACTTTGCCGACGCCGATATGGCGGAAGAACTGTCGAACACAGGAACATGCAGATGTCAGGCGGGTGGAAAGCACTTCCTCCGTTCAACTTGGCACACTGGGAGGGAAGCAGGTAGTGTGTGGCACGAGTAGATAAGCCACTCAGTCTTGTCAGTCACAGAGCCCATTTCATTACCGATTGTTTGACACGTTCCCGAATAATGTTCAGCCTGATCTGTCATTGCATCAGCAGTTAGCAATTTCAATCTACAAGGTGCATGCTTTAAGCTTTAAGGCGATGATGCCTGACCTGCTTCGTACGAAAACGTTGGCTGTCCCCGTCTGCGCATATAAGCAGGAGGTGCCGACAAATGTACCGGAGTCTAGATTGTCCTTAACGGTCTGTTGGCTAACGTCGACCAGTCGGATGTAAACACAGTTTCAGGTTACTTGAGATTCGAAGTCGGACTGTTTGGCCGACGAGTTATAAGTAGTCCAACTATCGACTACTGAGTCACGAGCCTGTTGCCTTTCGTGAATGTGGACTATCATAATTTTCACACCACTCCCGCCTCACCATTTCCAGTATCCTCCTGGATCTTTGCTGGCCGACACGCGAATTTCTGTGTGCGTTCTCTATTGAGTTTTAAAGAGCAAAGCGACGAAACCTGGTTTGTGAACGCTCTGTTGACTATGATATATGGTGGAGGGGCGTTCACGGATCAGGCCTCGGGAGACGCTTGTCTCGTTTTTCTAATATTATTGATCGTAACAGTCAGGAAATAAATATCGTGACCCAATGTAAAGCTGGTTGACGGCGCCCGAAATAACCATCTCAGTCCCTCTTTGCTTTGTTAATATTTTCTCCAAATCTGCAGTTGCAATAAGACTTTCAGAAGTGACTGGCGTCTTGCTGTTCCATAGGCATTTGGGCAACGGTAGGGGAAAGGACCCAAATTAGCTATTGGCAGACTGTGAATCGTGTGTTTATATATGTACTTGCGAAATCTACTTAACTACTGATGACTGGCAGTTACGCCTACGAACAGAGAAACTAAAAACGCAGATCGACTGAGCAGGAATTGAGGGATAACGGAAATGTCTGCCAGGGGATAGGCTCAGGTGATCGATAATCAGGCACTCTCTCAAGATGGGACGTCATGGAATATTCAGCTGGATACCGTGTCTGCACACATTCCTCATTTTACTCAAAAGTATCATTTTTTCCACCGATGGTCTTCTGGGTCTTTCTGCTTGCTGTCCAGCGTGCTGCTCCATCCGTAAATCCCCCATTTCCACTATTCCCGTACGACACGATTCACAGTATACCGACAGCTCCACCTTACCGTTCCCCCCATCGTTGCCGACTTTTCAATACTTTATTTTTATACGCAGTTTGCAAACGCATGCATAAATGCGATTTAATTCCTATCCGCTAACCATATTTTCCAAAGCATATGCTGCCAGGCAATTTACTTTACACGGACTCCAATGAAACATTTACCTTTTCGAGATCACTGCAACCGGCCTGTTGAAACCCTTAAATTGTAACATAAACATGGAGAGCATTAATACTTGGTCAACGTACTAGGCTTTTTCGGTCACTTCACTACATTGATATCTAAGTAACCTTATCTAAACCTCTCGAAATTTTCTGATTTCAGGCAAAACTATGAGTCTCATTCAAATGTATCCTTCGATGAGTGGGAGAAATATGAAAGGAGACTT